AGGTTTAGTTCAAACAGTCCATAAACCAAGTATCCCAAACAAAAAATACTATATGAAAGGCAGCACTCTTTGACAGACTTACCGAATGCTACTAGCAGGCGACTTGAAGGGTGAAGGCGACTTGTACGGCGAGACCACTCGAGGAGTTTCATCAAATGGGTGATATTCATACTGCTGCATGAGCGATTTCGAGCTGGATGGCCTCGTTGAAGGAGTCGCTGCCTTCGGTTTCTCTGCTACTTCATAGTCCGAATCACGTAAGGCAGCCACAATCGCGCTATCACGTACGAATTCTTCTGAAAATACCTCAGGCTAAATTCCGATTTGAGAGTAAAACGAGTCTAAATTGAGTGACTCTGAAGCGCATTACCAGATCTGCCACATTTATAAGCCCAAAGCTCCAGCTACTACATTATTTGAATGTATGGCACCTACTGGCCTTGCAGTTGGAGGGATGAAAATGAAGAGGGAAGAGAAAAGGAAGGAAAAGAAGGAAGGAGAAAGGAAAAGAAAGAGGAGGAAGACTTCGCGGCTGACAAGTATCCTGAGACGGAAGCGAATGAAAGATGCAACCAGAAAAATCTTGGAAGCGTAGAGGGGGTGGATAAAAGGAAATGATCACATAAGGCGCTAGTGTAATATGGGTCCGCAGAGCCATTGCCATGGAAGAAGGGGGGGGGGGAACTCTCGGATGAAAGAACCACTTTGCAGAATTCGGCTTGTTAAGTATCCTGGGTTTATGGTTTTAAAAAAAGGGGGTGGGGTGGGGGCACTGTTCGGCGTTCGGCTTGGTGAGGCATTTCGCTAGTCCCCGTCAACTACTGCCGATGCCTTCTGTGAAACCTGCGAATTAGTGTAACGCTCTGCGATAGCAAGAGCTTCGGTGACAGTGGGCAAAAGTCTACATGTCTCGCCAAGCAGAGATGTGTAAATGAACAGCAACTAGCAAAGGGAACTAGCAGGAAGGAACCCTTTCAAGCTGAACAGTGTCCCTTTTTGCGTTGGGACCACAAAGACATTGGTTCGCCCACACCGGCAGCTTCTTTAAAAAACCTGATTTTCAGCAAAAATGTGTTCCAACACCCGAAAATCGTCTTCTAGTAAGTTGGTTAGGGTCCCGTGGCGGCACGGTCTCTTCCAGGCGAATGGTTGGCGCTTACCTAGGGCCCAGCCTTGGATGAATGCACACGACCGGAGTTCTTGCAGTGCCTTATTTCAAAGCGCCGGTAGAAGTTGAGTTTAAGAGTTGGACTTCGTCGCAGCGCTACTTGCCCCCACTCAACCACCCCAAAACTGAAGAAAGCCTGTAAATTGTGAGGCGCCATTTCCTCTTTACTGGCTTATCAGGAGACATCAGACATAGTGGAATACCCTAATCCAAAACATATTCGATTATGGTCCTATATTGGACCAACGCTGCACAAAACATTGGAAAAATTTGTAAGATGGAAACAAGAACCCAGAACTAACCGATATTGCCCTGCTTTACGAGCTCCTTCTCTTCCTCGAGCTTTCGCTTTTCATATTCACCATCAAGAAATAGCAACAAATTCCGTTCTTCAGCTTCAGTACCATGCTAAAATACCCTTTTCACTCAATACCGCTATTAGCACTAAAACTGCGAAGCGTCAAGAAAGAAACAGACCAATGCCTCATCGAATAACACCTTTCGTAACCGCTTTTCTAAATGCTTCCTTTGTTCATATAAGTTAATGTTGGTCCGCATATAATTAGTATCGACTGAAAACGAGCCAATAAAAACAAAATGGAGAAAAAGTACAAAGAATTCCTTACATTGTTCCAAATGCTCATCACTGAGATTCGGTTCACCGTATGCGTGATATGGTAATAACCGTTGCAAAACATCGCGAAGATCAGAAAATGGGGTCTCAGTATCCGGACACGCCAGAGCCGTATGCAAATTTTCAAAATAGTTCCGCAGTCTGGAAAAAAGCTCACGATTTCATTCACAGATATGTACCATTTTCATTTCGGATTCACGGTTTTTTAAGCCAAAGTCACGACTTTTCGGATCAAACTGGAGGCCTAATTAACCATGCCACAACACACGTAGGATACTACCGTGGGTGTACCTTACCGCGAGCTCCTCCCCTTTAACCACGCCAACTTTTGCCTTTTTTTCGAAATTCTGACCCTTTTTCGCGATTGTTGCACTCTTGGGCTGCTACGGGAAGCCCAACCCATAACGATAATCTCCGCCCACTCCCGAAAAATGCCTCAAATCAACTGGATTATGACTCAGCTAGAAGGTCAAAAACTAGCTCCTCTCGGAACAAAAAAAACTTGCAAGGCTTCCGAGTGACGGGCAAAATCCTCACCTACTAGTTAAACTCTA